CTATCTTAGTTCTTAGGTGTGACAACGCATCTGCATTTAGTTTCTCAATCGAGAATAGATGTAGATGTCTATAGGTCTTACATTCAAGTGAACTGTGTGCTCGTTTTTCAATCATATTCTTTATAGAAAGATATGGTCACGAGCAAGACATAGGTGCACGTTCTGAGGTCATAGTTGGTGGTGAAATAAAGCACTCGAAGTTGAGAATAAATTGAATTAAACGCGATAAAATCCGTAAATAAATTTTTATTTAATGTTTTCTGAGAATAGTAAATTTATTTAGTTACAAGCGTTTATAACGCCCGTTTACCGAAACAAGGCATAGTAAGATGTCTTAGGACGTGGTTATTTATCGAGTTGCTAATGAAAGCATTATAATATATTACCTTTGTGATGCTTTGCGCTTTAAGAGAAAACTGTTTACGTATGTAAAATGTGAGACAGTTTTCTCTTGTTAGTATCTCTTTATACACGATTCTGTATGTTTGTTTAAATATAACATAAATGTGATATAATGTGGTTTTTTTTTGTAGAGAACAAGCGTGCAAACGAACACAAAGTCCACCTAATGGCAAGCGGATGCTGTGGCTCACAGACTACATTTTACATATGGGAAATAATTTTTCATACTCTTTCTTACAATTTTTCTTATCTCCTTCCCAAAATAATTTATATTTCATTTTGAAGGCATTTCACCTGTTTTAATAAATACTTAATGTAGGGTCGTACACAATAAGACCTTAGTTAATGAATCAACAAATAGTAAAGATCTTAAAAAATCAATTACCTAGGATGGCGTAATAAAATAAATGATGTGTCTAATTTGAAGGGCACATTGAAGGGAGGGTTGGAGTTAATATAATGGATTTCCACAAAGTAACGGATTCTATTAATTAACCCAATGAATGCGGAATACGCCACAACATGGAACATGTTTACTTCCTACTCTGTGAATAGGACAGAATTTTCTTATATGTATATATTTCTTCTATGTGAACATTTGTAACTATGTAACTGAAAACTACCAACTTTTTTTCAGAATAAGGGTATGTCGTGGGTGTTGTAGGGTTCATAAGAAATGATGGAAAATTTTATGCCTTCCGACATATGGCGGTATAACCTTTTCCTTTACATCAAACATAATAATGTCCTCCACACCGAATTTCGGTCAAGGCAGCCAGTCTCAAGTGAGACTAGTCATTTGGGCAGGGTAGTATCAAAATGCCCGAATGTGTGTGCGAACACAAATCCAAATTATCCTTTCGCTCTCATAATCTAATTTGACGGTAATCAGATACGATCGAGAGTGTGACCGGGCGCAGAACCAACTGTACGTTCTTTCCAAGTCCGGATTGAAACACTGCCAACTGTTTGCTACTGAGAAATTCTTGATAGTAAAACCCCTTGACTGACTTTGTCCCGACCCGGGATCAGAAACCGTGACCTATTGATTAGGAACCACGTTTACGACCTTTTGACTAATGAGGCAGTCATCATTATCAGACGTAAACTACTAGACCGTGACGGGCAGCGTCAAAGATGTAAGACATCTAGCACTGCGAACGTCATTCTACCTGCCAGGAGTCAGGTTGAGCCCATATCCAGCAACGGACCTTTAAGGACCGCTAAAAGAGAAGAAGAAAATAGACCAGAGAGTGAATAAGAATATCAATACAACAAGCTTTCGAAATCCACCGTTGATCACAGGCCTTCCCACATATTGTATTACATGGGGGTTACTTTTACATGCCATATTTGCCACACTTGGCGGGTTGGCAACCGTCGTATTTTTTTTTAGAAAATATAAGGGAAATGCTACTACTAATTCTGACTTGCATCCCTCTGTTACCTCTTGTAACATCCATTAGTCGGTATAGGGTAATGGATATTCTTACACAGCCACTACATAGTGTGAATGACCTACCTCTGTCGTAATCGTCATCAACTGCAACGCTGAAGAAGACCACGCTGTGCACACTCCGGCAGCAAATGCTCCGAGATTCACTGAAAAGTTCAATAATATTTTACATATAAATGAAAATGTTTTCAACACTTGTGTGGTGTTGCCAAATAAATCAGTTCATCGTGCTTAATCATCATCGTTACAGCAATTCACAAGTCCACTGCTGAACACCGGCCTCACCCAAGGAATGCCACAAGGCACGGGCCTGAACCACGTGCATTCAGCCCTACACTTCGTCTATCGGTACGAGGCTGCCACTCGAGAGCACCATTCTTCCCCTTCGGTTGTCGATTCTTTGAGATATAGACCCGGCCCATTGCCACTTCAGCTGACTAATCTGTTAGGCTGTATCGGTTACTCTGGTTCTACTATAGATATTCTTACTGTACTGTAATATAATCTAAAAATTAATTTTAAAGATGATTACCGAAAACTATTTGCATTTTGCAAAATTATACCTATTCACGACAAAGTTGAACTAACATTACTAACTGAAAATTACTTTACTGAAAATTTTAAAAAGGTAGATTAGTTATTATACTCCGCACGCAGAACTGAAAATCTAAAACTACAATTACCTAAATATAACAACTTATACGGAAAAAGAACTTAACAATGTTATACTTAATCTAATCAATCAGTTACCTAAATCTTTGAAAGACGTCATTACACGTAAAAACATAAAATATAATTTTTTTTTGTATACAACTACCTCTTACTAAATACTCGTAACAATTAAAACAACTTCTCGTTCTATGTTATTGCTTTACTTTACCAACATTATCTTACCATATATTTATGAAAATATACCATATACATATGTTATAATCAGCCTGTATCACGATTATTCACAAAATGTAATAAGTTCACCTTGTGATGTTACGCTCATCGCCTAGAACTATTTTATATTTATGTACCCACAAATAGTTTGTCAAATAGAAACACAACATTTAATGCTAATTTAAGTTGATAATATATTAATGTAAGTTTGGTAATGTAATGTATTGTAATGTGTTAATTAGAATAATGTGTCGACAGCAATGGCGTACGGAAAAACTCTAATGAGTTTATGTTTACAATAAATCTATTTATCTTTGTAACCATAAATTTCTTAAAAAAATAAATTAAAAAAACTGTACTGTGTGTAAGTAAAAATTAAAACAGTTAAAAATCGTTTATTTATCCCTCTTTATTAGGGGAATGAAATTGGTAGAACGTGGTAGGTTGATCCTCTACTAGTGAGAGGCCTGGCCCAGGGTTAGTTACCATCCACCTGGCAAAAACATACCGCCAAATAATACAAGTCGTGTTGTGGTATGATGTTATGTTAAACCCATTTCGTAAAGAGAATGTTGCGGACAGATGCGCATAAGAACCGGTTCTTGGTGTCAGGTGCCTGGTTATGGAGGTTAGCGGGATCCGAAGCACCGCTGACCGACCGTAGATAGTTGGGGGCCCTATTAATGAGCCAGCCACTCATGAAAAGCTGCCCCGCCATCTCATGAAAAATCCTGGAATGGTTTCACCATGCCGGTTGGCGACCGGAGGAGAGGGCCTGGTGGAGATTTCTAGGGGAATTCGGGCGTCTCCGCGATCTTCATGCAAGGTACACATGCTGTGACTCTGTTTGCGCCCCTAGGTTATATGTGTGATGCCTCGTCCAACTGCCACTCTCTCAACCTATTTACTCCAGCAATTATAAAAAATAAAATAAAAACGAAGAGTAATTTTGCACAGCGGTTGCACTCCCTCTCCATCAAAATGCACCTCACAAACATCCGAGGCCGGCACTGTAATCTCAATGCAGTCCATTACCACCTTGAGACTGACAAACCGCACTTACTCTTCTTTACTGAGACGCAGATCAGATGTCCTCTAGATGCGGCGTACCTTGGCTACCCTGGGTACACATTGGAGCATAATTTCCATCAGCGCGCCGGAGTCTGTGTTTAGATCCGCAACGACGTGTGCTGTAAACATCTCGGTCACCTTTAAGAGCCACGTTTGCTACGATTTGGGTATTCATAGACACAGGAATTGATAAAATTATTTATTCTTGTGCCTACCGATCGCAGAGCGGTGAGCAGGAGACAATTAGGCTATTTGAACACCTCAATGAAGCCTCTGATGTGGCTCTAAATCGTTACACCAATTTTTTAGTTATTACGAGTAGTATGTTTTATTTTAGTTAGTTAGTTAGTTTTTCTAGAGTACTTTCATGTCTGTCATCAGGACTGGCTGTTCCCATACCAGAAGACCTACCACGCTGGGAGAGAAGCGTGGAATTTTGCCTTGTTGCTCGCACTCTCCCAACTAGTACAACAAGCAACTAGGGTACCTGATGTGGATGGGCACATAGCCAACTGCCTCGACCTTCTGCTTACGATCGATCTAGACAGGTACAATGATCAGGTTATCTTACTCTTGGGAACTTCTGACTACTGTCTGGTGAAATCTGTGTCGTTATATTCCAGACCCAACTATGATTGATCCAAGGTGTGCAGCGAGTGTGGCGATACAAGTCAGCAGATTGGGATGAGATGCTACATTTCTTTGCATATTATCTTTGACGGCAGGTCTGCTTCTCGTCTGAAGATCCGTCGAACTGCACGGATACCATTACCAATTTGATAGGTCAAGTGATGGAGTATTCCAACCCCTTTGCTGTCGTACCCATTGGTGGTAAAGCTTGGCAATGGTACAACGCCGAGTGCGCTCGTGCTGAAAAGCACAAGTATACGGCTTACTTATCCTGGGTCAAAGCTCGAGACCGCAAAACTCCAGATGTTAGTCTAAAGAAGAGAGCTTTTAACCAAGCCGCCAAGTCTTGCAAAAGGGCGTTACAGCAAGACTATTTCGACCGCATTAAACGCATTGGTACAAATCTCTCTGTCAAACCATCTGGCAGTAGAGCTTTTTGGTCTCTTGCCAAAGCGATCGAGACGAACTTCTGTCGGTCTGCACTGCCTTTGCTGGTAAAACCAGATGGCTCAATGGCGCATGCTCCTAAGGAGAAAGCGGCTTGCAATTTGCGTCTGGACAGTAGCAACAGCGTACTATCTCAATTACCTCAATATCCGTATCACCAACAAGGAGGTTCTTAACAGCTTGCGAAGTCTAGATGGGAACAAATCCAGTAGACCTGATAGTATACCGGCTATAATTCTAAAGTTCTGTGCACCTGAGTTGTCTCCTGTATTGACGCGCTTGTTCTGCTTCCCATTCAGGACTGGAATAGTGCCCAAATCTTGGAAGCTGGCTAATGTTTAGTCTGTGCCTAAAAAAAGTAGTCGTGCCGATCCTGCCAACTATCGTCCAATTTCAATTACCTCCATACTCTGCAAGATTATGGAGCGTATATTGAACGCCCGCTTCATGGTATACCTAGAAATAAATGACCTTAGTAAGAGATATAGAGATATAGTCATTTCGGCTGGCGTAAATTATCCATACTGGCAACTAAGTCAAGCCAAGCGTGATTATTACGGCAAATACTTTCTCCAAAAGGTGTGTTCCATATTAAGCTGGGAAATTATATGGGCAAATAAAGATAAATATTAAGATTGTCTTATTATTTTAACCGATTGTACAAGAAGAGAGTAGGTAGCGTTTTTTGACGTCTATTACGTTGGCACTCTCTGTAGCCTAAACGGATTGATGAGTTTTAACGTAAGGAGTGTGAAAAGATTCAAATCTTACGGATTTTATTGCGTTTAATTTTAACTTTTTAATTCGTGCTATACAGCACTCGTGGTCACGGAGGTGTTTGACGTTCTGATGTATTTTTGGTCCAATCTACACAGAATCGTATCAAAAATTAATAATCAAAACCTGAAGGTAACCGGGCTAACTATGATATCGGCACGGCGACAGCTCAGACCCCAACCTTAGTCTCCCAAATCATCGAGAATAAAAAGGTAAAGTTCATAAAATTAGTTTCATTTAATTTGTAGTATTCGCGTAAATATAAGAAATCATTACATGGGGTGTCGTTAGATTCGCCATAGTTGTAAGTGTGATATAGGCTGTTAAATTATTTATCTTTTCATTAATTTGTTTTAACCTTTAAGCTTGTAATAAAATAAAATGAGCATGTAACAATTACCTATACCAGCAGTAATATACTGCGTTGTGATACCCGATGTGTCTCTCTTGATATCTGGTACGGTTTCAAGCCTTTGCAACACCTTGACGTTTCCATTTTTGGTTTCTGGTACTTCTGTGCCGGATATGTTATTGGTGTTTCCATTAAAATTTTCCGATTGTGTATTAGATGCGTCTCCATCCAGTTCCATAGCTGGAACTGCAACTTCTTCTACTGTAACAAATTACGTGGAAATAAATATGAAATATACTTACTTCTCAAACATTGGCTTTGGCTGTAATTCATATCCAAATTATTTGTGTATTCCCAAGTTTGACAAAGGACAGACTGCTATACATAAATTCAGGACAAAACCTGTGTCTTAGCTGTGGATTGCACGGACGGATGCTGGCAAGGTAAATATGCCACGCAAATTCTGTTTACATTTACGTTTTTTGAAGTTTATTTCAGATAAGTATGAAATTAAGTTACGTGCTTAGCTGAAATATACTTAATAATGATACTTAATACTGAATAAACGCACACATAAAAAATGAAAGCGTTTTCATAGCCACGTTGAACAATTGGTAAGTGGAGGGGAAGGGGCTTAGAAAAGTAAAAGTCATGGCGTCGGAAAACTAACTGTATCCATAATCGCTCTCGGCGCGTCACTGACACAGATTACCTCTGCTCATGCGAATTCGTTCGGAAAAAGTTCGTACAAGCTGACACACTAACGTTCATGGCATTTTGCGAGCTTAGACTTAACGTCTGATGAAAATTACCGCATTCTTGTTTCTCGTTAGTATGGATGATCGGTGTAAGTTGAAGTTTAACAAAGAAGCCAAACCGCTTGCCAAGTGTGGCAACTATGGAAAAAACAGTTTTTGGAAAAGGTATATATTTAGCAGTAGACTTAAATAAGCTGTAACGGAATATCTTACACGAAGAGACTCAATATATAATTATAACTATATCTATTTTTATCAGCCTGAAAATAGTCCATCAGTGAACTATTAGTTAACAGTTAACTATTATAAAGAAGAATATACGAAACAAACGACCACGCAGTAAACTTGATGGTAAGTTGATGTGGCCCATAGACAATTACATCAACTTCTGAGGTCTACAATAGAATGCTTCTTTACAAACAAAAATTCAGTTCGGATTTTATGTAGTGAAACTAGTTATGCTAGCTATATATAGCTGCAGCAGGAATGGTTTGTTCTTGACCAGGGTAGGACCCTTTTCTCACATAATACGTCGTGAAACAGCAGAATAGTGCCGCTTTATTTCGAATGGTGAGTGTGGAGAACCGGAAACTCATTTTACTACTAAGTAATTATTCCATCTAAGTCCTCAGTAGTCACAAAATATCTGCATTTTGATTCCTAATGGAGGATAGATGTAGATGTCTATAGGCCACATTATACACCTACCATGAGATAGACTGTGCTCGCTTCTCATACTTATTTTTTTTTAACTCGTTCCGTCAAAGTACAGCGCCATTACGTTACTAATTTACGCTGCTCCGATATTCTAGGAGAGCGTGGTTCTGTGGTGGTCAACCCATTCGTGCTATTGTCACAACAGATGCAATGTGGCTCTACCACGTAATAAATTGTGTTGTGATTATCTTCGTATCTCTTACAGTGTGTCAAGGCCTACCTCTGGCCTTATTACAAAACCATTCCGCGGGTTTCTTTTAACAGTCTGAACACTTTGTCTCGGGAAATTTAGATGGTGATATGAATATCGCTCAGATGCCGCAATATTACAAGTTGAATTTATCTAAATGTTATCAACTTCTTTCTTATTATATAATAATATAATAAAAATATTTTCACTAAATAGAGATAACATTAAATTAAATAGCCCCAGTATTTCCTTGTGCCGACCTGGAGCCGATATCAATAATTTATCACGGTCCGTCTGTAAACATTCCATTATTTGTCACTTGTAAAATAGTTAACGAATAACAACATCGTTTTTTTTTTCTTTTTTGTAACAAGCTTTTTAACCGACTACAAAAATGAAGAGGTTTTACAATCGACGCGTAAGTTCTTATGTATTGATATAATCGGCCGTTACTTAGTGGAAATTCATAAATTTAAAGATGTTATAAATTAATTACCTAATTCTTTTTTTTATATAATAAAGGTGACAAACGATCACACAGTCCACTTGATGATAATTGGATGCTATGGCCAAAAAACATGTACATATATCCTCAATTAAGAATATAAATGCAGCTGCATTGTTTCCAGTAAAAAGGTTCTCCGGTTCTCTACACTCGCCATACAAAACACAGTAGCTTTGAGCTGCTATTTCACGTTGGTATTCTGCGAGATCGTGGTCCATTTAGCCATTAGTAATATAGCTGCGGCGTGGCTCTACCTCGTAAAAAAATCATTTTTAACACATTTAATTTCTTAAGTATGTTCAAAGTTTTTTCGAAAACGGTTTTCAGGTAAATCAATAGTTTTATTACCATGTTTTCACTAACTCGCTTTCGTGTGTCTGTTCGGGTGGAATTTATTAATTGACTTTAAATTAACTTCCCGATGAGCTGGAGATTTTAAGCTTTGAACATAGCTCAGAATTGGATGACAATGGAAGAATATGAAAAGCACGTGGGTATATTAAAATCAGTTTTTTATAGGAGAGGGGGCAAACGAGCATACGGTTCACGTGATGGTAAGTGATTACCGTCGCCCATGAACAGCTGCAACACCAAGGGTACTGCAGATGCGTTGGCGGCCTTTTTAAAAGAAATAAGCTCTTTTCTTGAAAGTCCCTGAGTCGTATCGGTCCGGAAAAATCTCTGATGGCAGATGATTCCACAAAGAAGTTGTGCGAGGAAGAAAACTTCTTTTAAACTGCTCAGTCGATATGTTGACGGTGGGGATTCCGATACTGGCTGAGGCAACGAGTGCCTTGAAACTGAGAAGATACGATGAAAGGGTTCTTTTTAGCGGTAATTTGTTATTAAATATACCTCAATGGTTATACGTTTGCAAAAAATATCACACTCTTAAGGTTCCAAACTAAGGAAAGAGTTTTTATAATACTATTGAAATGAAATTCTAGTCTTTACTTAGTTTGATTTTCGTTAGATCACTCGAAAGTCTAAAAAAAGGAACTTAAAAAAAGCAAAATCTCACTTCAAGGAACTGTAGAGAAAAAAAGACTAATGATATTTTTACTACTTGATGGAGCCATGCTGCTTCTACGTTATGGTTGCAGCACGAATGGGTCAGCTCGACCGGGGTAGGACCACGCTCTCACAAAATACCAGCATAAAATAGCAGCTTAATGCTGCTGTGTTTCGTACGGTAAGTGTAGGGATCTGGAGACCCTATTTTTACTGAAAACGAGCCATTCAATCTTAGTCCTCAGGGTTGACCACGCATCTGCGTTTTGATTCTTAACCGAGGATAAATGTTGACGTCTATGGACACAGTATCCACTTACCATCAGATAAACCGTGTGTTCGTTTATCACCCTTATTCTTTTTTAAAAAAAACGATATTCAAATTTGAAAAGGATTTGTTTTTGAAAAGCTCTAAAAGATTGAGTGACGTATTTCTATAATCAATTTTCCCGTATTTTTAAATAATACAATTATTGTTATGAGTTAGCTGACAAAATATTTCTTATCTGAGTTGATTTGGTGGAGTGTTTTTATTGTCATGACGTATTTAATGAGTTTTATCACAATGAAGGTTAAGAGTACTGAAATATATAGCTAGATATTTAACTTAATTATCCGTCTCTGATAAAAGTAACTTATAATATTTATACAGTTTTATATACATTATTTATTTGTAAATACATAAATCTATTTTTGTCGAGTTTTAAACATTAACACAAAATTCAGTACATTTATTTAAACACCTTGTGCGTTAGTGTGCTCAGTGATGAGAGAAATTTAATTACCCATTGAAAATATATTTATGTATTAGTTAATTGTTTTTAGTTTAGAAGATGTCCATAAGTGGCATTAGCCGATTACAATTAGCTGATCTATTTTATTGCCATAGTTTCACTTTCAAGTATTAAAACACGCTTAAAAACGTTTTCATAGCCACATTAAACAAAATCAGTATTAGACTGCCATAAACTGTTAAGCGACAGTAGCCCAATGGCAGAACTCAAAAGGTTGTGAGTTCGAATCCGCCATTTGACTACTGTCGTTAACCACTCCTAACACAAGCGTTTCATGCTTACCAGGATTGGTTAAAAAAATATTAGTAATGTTTAATTAATACGATTACTAATATTTATTAATAAAAACATTCGCAGTTAACAAAACAAAGAAGTAGTCTTTTCGGCTTCTCGCACTCGACTAAATAGAGTTACGGAGAATTGATCGTAACACGGTGCGCAATGTATTAAAGCCGCAAGGCCCGTCTTATAAAATACATACAAGTCTTTTACATTTGACTATTTTTTATAAAAGGAATCACCCCCACAGCATCCCGTGGGTGTCGTAAGAGGCGACAGAGGAAAACAACGGCAGCATCTTCCTATAACAACTAAAATAAAAAACTCCGTTTGCTATCTCTTCTGCCAAGGGTGACAAATATGGCAAATATACGGCTATATGCCATATTGATTTCTTATATTTACGCGAACACTACACATTGAAATAATACTAGTTTTTACGGAATTTATCGCGTATATTTTAACTTTTTAAATACCCGACGTTTCGAACGCTTTACAGCACTCATGGTCACGGGCAGGACTGAGATGTTTAACGTCCATATGTCATAGTTAACCGCGGTTACCATAGATTAAAATTTAACTTTTGTTCCGATCTATGCAGTATGAACTTATGGTATCTTGAAGTATTGCAGTTGTATGCTTGGGTTGGGATTTAATTTTATTTATTATAGGATCCCAAGCAGATGGTAGCACCCAGCCATCTTCTCTATTGAAATTAGGATGTTTTTTGATTTCTATAGCCTCGCGAATCATCCTTGGAAGGAATCGGTGTTCTTTAGCGAGGATCTGCGGTCTATCAAATCTGATGTAGTGACGGGGGCGATTCTGTATGTGTTCACAGACTGCAGACTTCCCGGAGCGTCGATTCTTCACATCAGCTATATGTTCTTTAACGCGGGTTTTTATTGATCTTTTAGTTTGTCCTATGTAGGAGAGACCACATTCACAATCAAGCTTGTACACTCCTGCATCTTGCAGAGGGACATTACACTTGACCGATGGTAAAAACTGACCAATCTTCTTCAGCGGCTTGAAGTATGTTTTGATGGAAGCGCGCTTCAAGATGTAGCCAATCTTGTCAGTGACTCCTCTAACATACGGCAGTACAGCAGGTACACTTTATTTTTTCAAGCTCGCTGAAGAAGATTGGTCAGTTTTTACCATCGGTCAAGTGTAATGTCCCTCTGAAAGATGCAGGAGTGTACAAGCTTGATTGTGAATGTGGTCTCTCCTACATAGGACAAACTAAAAGATCAATAAAAACCCGCGTTAAAGAACATATAGCTGATATGAAGAATCTACGCTCCGGGAAGGCTGCAGTCTGTGTACACGTACAGGATCGCCCCCGTCACTACATCAGATTTGATAGACCGCAGATCCTCGCTAAAGAACACCGATTCCTTCCAAGGATGATTCGCGAGGCTATTGAAATCAAAAAACATCCTAATTTCAATAGAGAAGATGGCTGGGTGCTACCATCTGCTTGAGATCCTATAATAAATAAAATTAAATCCCAACCCAAGCATACAACTGCAAGACTTCAAGATACCATAAGTTCATACTGCATAGATCGGAACAAAAGTTAAATTTTAATCTATGGTAACCGCGGTTAACTATGACGTATGGACGTTGAACATCTCAGTCCTGCCCGTGACCATGAGTGCTGTAAAGCGTTCGAAACGTCGGGTATTTAAAAAGTTAAAATATACGCGATAAATTCCGTAAAAACTAGTATTATTTCAATATATGCCATATATTGGCAATTTTCGGGTGACGGTAACGGTGACGGTGCACTGTGCACTATAGATTATCTGGTCAGCTGACAATTTTTGAAAGATTCGTTTCTTAGTGCCTTAATGACTATCGATCAATAAAGATTGCATTAATATAATTTTTTTATTAATATAGATTATAAATAATTCTAATGGAAAGCTATTTTTTAATTTTCTCTCTCCCGGGAAGTACTATAAAGATACTCAGCAGCACTGTTTTTCACAATGAACGATATAAAGTTAGTTATTTCAATTTACTAAACTCATATAAGAAACCAGGGGTACTTTATACTTTAGTAACCCTTGTAATGAAATCTTTGTTGAATAAAAAAAATCTAATTATGACATGAACATGACATTTTCTGGGACTTTGTTGTAATAACGTTATATATACGTATACGATTGCTATATACGTCACGTTAAAAATATTGAATTATGACATACCCGTACTCATGTGTGTATTCTGTAGTTATAAGGTAGGCAGGATATAAACAGAAGTGCGCTCAGGTAAACAAATTAATGTCGACAAGTAGTACTATGAGTAATACATAATTAATGGAACGAAAACTTCAACACTGTATAACTGACTGACGGGACCAGTGGCCGCCATCTTGATAAGTCCTGGGACTAGAAAAATATAGTTGCAGGGCTGTCCAACCACGGGTCGATAAATGAACAATAATATTCTCACTTTATTAGTAGCGGTGTGAGAATATATGATATAAGAATATAAATATAAGAATATAAATATAAGAATATAATAATGTAAGAGACGACAGATAGAAACTGGATCAGGTGAAGTGCAGCAGTATTTTTCTGATAATATTTCTAACTAATAAAAAACTACGTTTGCCACCCATCTCGCTATTATGGCAATTATGGCAAATATGGGGAATATGGGTTATTCCAATAAAGACATTTCAGGCAGTGGACTTTTGATATGATGTGAAAAATAAATAATGATATAATTTGCTGAGTATTTCACGGTGATTTTTACATTGATTATTTACACATGATAGAGACATACTGCAGCTATACTATACTTGTATCACGAATGGGTTGGCTCGGCCGTGGGAGGACCATACTCACACAGAATATTAGCGTAAAATAGCACCTCAATGCTGCTGTAATTTGTATTGTGAAGGGAGAGAGACAGAAACCCTACTACTGGAAAGGAGGCATTCCATCTTCGTCTACAAGAGGCATGGAAGGAACAGTAAAGTAAGTCCCTACACCATGCAATACGGCTTAGGACTACATACGCAATAATTTTTTTTTTTTTTTACATTCTTAGTCGTTATCATCATTGTCATAATCAGCGTGTAAATTCTCTTCTACCATGAGCTTCTACTATTAAATAGGATTAAGTAAGTAAGTAATATTTACATTGCCTTACAACCTCCTGAATAATTCCGGTTACCAAAAAGGCTTCAGTAAATTGTACGCAAGATTAAAGAGACCCTTTTAACTATTAACTAGAAATTCTATCTAAGCCCTGAGGAGTGACAACGAATCTACGTTTTGATTCATAATCTAGTTGTCTATGGGTTATAACACCCACTAACCATCAGGTAGACCATGTGCTCGTTGGTCACCCTTTATCTGTAAAAAAAAACGAAAAGTGCAATCTAGAACTTGATTTTGTATAATATGCGGATCATGACAACCTTTGGTTCCATCAAAATTTGGGCAGTCCCTTCAGCGGTGCCAAGGTGCCAGTTGATAAGTTGTAAGTCGAGTGAGAACCTATCCTACTTCAGATATTGCATTGATGTTATGGCCCATAACATCTGTATATGATTCTATTTTTTCTTTATAATTGTTTTTATTAATACTATCCAAAACCAGTAACATGTTGACTTTGTGTTCTACCAGTAAAATTTTACATATAGAGAATATTTTATTGTAATCTTTCTTACAGCTCTCTTTTACTTGTTTATTTACAAGATGTTTTGGAAATCTTGTCTGTAGATTTTTTATGTCATTTATATAAGAAGCAAATGTGCGACCGTACACACCTAGTCGGTAAGTTATGAGGCAATCCACCAAGGCATGGTATAAAAGTTACATAGACTTTTTATTCAAAATGTAGTTTAAATAACAAAATTTATAGAGAAGGCTATGCTCCGAATTTTACCGCGTGATTAACAATTTGAATAATACTACAAATAGGACTCAGTCAATGAGGAAGGGCGTATTAAAAAGTTAAATATATCTTATTTTTTCGTAATGATATCAGCCTTAGAACCATATTAACCAACATATCCCAAAGGATCAGTTAGCTGAAGTGACAATGAGAGCTAACAACAGATGGGAAAGAAATGAAGACTACTAAGAGATTTTTTTTTTTTATATAAAGGGATGTGGAAATTTAATAGACGCATATGCTTCGTGGCATTCTTTTGAAGATGTCTCCGTTCATCAGGAGACTTGTGATTGCTTGAATGCTTTTGGGCCGCAAACATAACACTAATTATTAATATTTTGTATGCGACCAACGATTAATCACCCCTGAAAACGATAACCTTCCAATCATGTCACAACCCTTTACCCATCTTAGCTCTTAACGCACATACGGACGAGTTGATAATAGCGTATATACGAAGTTATATTTTTACAATCAATGTCTGCTAGATAAGTTTGTTTGTCTGCTCGGGGCGCAAACATAAAAGCATATTGGAACATTATCTCGATCGTATTAAACTAACTTTCTAGAGTAAAGTGCAATTGTTTTTTATAAAATTCACTCATCTATTACGTCTGCGACACTCATAAGTCAGCTCGACCGGGGATTGAACAGAAGCAGCAGCATAATATTGCTGTTTTTTTATAGAATTCGATGACAAACGAGCACACACTCCACATGTTGGTAAGTGGATGCTGTGGCTCATAGACATCCACATTTTATATTACTAAGGAGGCTATTTGCTTTAAATTGAACCACAATCATTTTTATTTTTTTTATCTCTCTGTCTGTTTGGACTAAACTTCGTAATGGCTGAAAATATTATAATGAAATTTCACGAAAAGATAAAGAGCAAAGCCAGAAACAATCCAAGCTACACTTTAACCAAAAAAACTGAAAATTCATAAAATTTGTAGTTTTTGACTATCATAAATCTAAATATCGCCATTAATAGGTATTTCTCACCCGAGAAAATCCGGTGGCGAATCGCTAGTAATTACGTAAATCTCGAGGCTTTACTTAACCTATTATATGATATTACTGATAGGTATTTTCGTGCTTTTACAAATTAAACAGAGGTCATAACTATTAACCTACCGACCCTGATATTATTTGATAAGAGTTTTGATAATTTTGACAAATTCAACAGAGATTATATTTATTACCCTACTGAAGCTGATATAACTACTATAAGCTTACGTGAGTACGAAGAGTGTGGTTTGCAAGATGATGTTATGACCAGGATTAAGAAAGGAATGCTTCGGTGGTTTGGTCAAAATTTATGTTGCAGAAGTGAATGGCAGAGTCGGAAAGGGACGTCTTAGGCGAAAATTTATCGATAAAATTGGCGATTTATTGAAAACGGGCCATATTAGGAGTACCCTTAACCGACGAGCATGTATGCGTAGGTGTATGGATGTGAAGGAGGCGAGAGAGGTGTGTCAGGATCGTGCCAAATGGAAGTCTGTAGTCTCTGCCTACCCCTCTGGGTGACAGGCGTGAGTGTTTATGTTTATGTATTATGTATGTATGTAAGTTTACGTATTTTTGACAAAATTTATGGAAGTCATAGATATTTTAATTATAATTCGATCTTCACTATATTTAGTAGAATAAGGGTAACAAACGAAACAGTCCACCTAATGATAAGTGGATGCTGTGGCACATATACATCTATGTATATCTATCCTTAATGAATTATCAAGAAGGTGCCTTCTGGTTCTCTAGTTCTCTTCTCTTTCCATACGAAACACAGCAGTATTTAGCTACTATTTCACGCTGGTATTCTGTGTTAACATGGTCCTCCGCGGTCGAGCAGATCCAGTTCAATTCCTGCTACAACTGCTATAGCTACAGAATTTAACTTGTAAAAACAAATTATGTACACGTGAAAATATGATGTATTTTCCGCATAGTTGTTAATATTGTTAACGGACTTCCCACACTTTAGGGATTCTTATAATATCAACCTGGGAAACCCCTATTACAAATATTTTGATGAGTCATTTTTTTATATTCACGTTCTTTGTGTCAAGAGTCGACAATCTGTTGACTAAAACAACCATACTTAGTTAAGATACGAATAAAATATTATTTACGCAAGATTATTTAATCCAATACCTTTAAACGAGCAATTCTTGTATATATATATATATATAGTAAATCCTCGTTAACACGAACACGAAAAAACAGACAAATAGTTCGTGTTACAGGGGAGTTCGTGTAATCCGAACAATGCAAAAAATGAATTCGTGTTTCTAAACTCAATATTATCATTTGTTATAGAAACATTTTTATTAATAACTTTGATTTTATTATTTTATATTTACAATAATTTTTAAAAGCCAAATTGTTAAGAAGCCTTTGCTTTTGTTAATTAGTTTTCAAAAGTTTACAACCTTTTCAATAGCTTTTGTAAGACGGAAAGAAAATTTGAGGTATTGTTTCTATTTTTAGGTATTCGAGTGAAAGTTTGATATACTAATCATTTGTCTATTTTTAGAAACTCGAGTTAATAACTTTTCTAATCTCTTCAGCATTTGTTTACCGGAATTTGTATTGACAAAATACATGATTTTGGAATTTTTATAGTTCCTATTATCCGATAATTAACCGTGAAGGGACGAAAAAGTTGTTCGAAGTTCGGATTAACGAGGATTGGTCTTAACCGAACATAATTACATTGAAGCTTATGGAACTATTGTCTAGAGCAAAATTTTTGTACGCCTTAAACCAAAATTCGTGTTAACCGTGTTCGCATTAACGTGGGTTTACTATATATATATATATATATATATATATATTATATATATATATATATATGTATGATGTAACAACCCTGTGGTTCCGTTAGGCGTTATTTGAATGTTTAAAAAAACTCATTTAATTTATTTGAATGAAAAAAAAATATTTTGAAAATTTTATGTGTTTTTATTTACTCTAACTCATACAAGTATCGGTAATACGGGGTTCTTTGACAATCCTCTTACTCCTCGGCCAATGCAGAGATAATAAAACCACATACAATTTGCAATTAATTTTTTTTTCATTAAAATTATTTTTTAAATGTGTTTTGTTTTGAAAAAAATTATTTCTATATGCATGGATACCAATTCTGATAACGCAGTTAACGGGAACCGCAGGGTTTTTGACACAATTAGTATATTATGTTATAATCATAATACATAAACTGAATTTTTAGTTAAACATTTTTATGCACTGATTATATTTATCAAATTACTAATTCCGGAAGAATGTTGTGGTCACAG